CAATGGAGATGAAGAGAGTAAACAGTTGGATTCAGGAGGTATTTTGAGAGGGATGCCAACAGGATTTGCTAATAAGTAGGATATAGAGTATGAGAAAAAGAGAACAGTCATGGATGTCTCTAAGATATGGAGCCTGAGGGTGAATAGTGGTCCAATTTACTGGGATGGTGATCACCAGAAGGAGCAGATTTGAAGAAGAAATTAAGAGTTTTGTTTGGATATGTTACAAGTGAGATATCTATTAGGCATCTGTGGAAGATTGGTAGGCCTAAAGTTTAGGTGTAAGCCCTAATGTTTAGGGCTTCCAAATGTCTTAATCAAATCCTAGGTCCCCAAATCTGGGCACAGGCATACTGTCCACCAGGAATTCCTAGAATACTTGTGATATGGAAGACCCAGTTTGACCAAGTATACAACGAGAATGGTGAGATGTGGACATTAGGAGGCTAAAAAGTAGGATGAGCATCTTTCTGTTTCAGGTCCATATTTTGAAATTGGAAATATAATAGAACTTTATTTGCACTCCTTTGGAAGAGTTTCTTCCTATTTAAATTTCTAGCTACAACTTGATTGCCCCATAAACAAAGAAACAATAAATAGAAAATTTGTCATCTTGTCTCTTACCTTAAAAAGGGCTTTTTGTAAATATTAATAAGAAGTTAAGATTCTAGAGGCCTAGTGAATTGAGTTCAAAGATGGAAAGTTTTAAAATTTTACCACACTTTTATGTTTGAGGTAAGGAGGGCTCAGCATGTTTATTTACATTTTGAGAGAACTGATAGGGATTTTTTCCCTTTTGTTGATGCACATAAGAAATTACACCAGACAAAATGCTAACTCAGAGATAAACAAATCTCAGTTCCCTAGAAGCAGAAGCTAAAAAGAAAGTCATCTTGAGAGTGTCTGAAGGTCATTCTGAAGGACATACCCTTCTTAAAGGGCTACCACATACAGTTATGCCCAAGGTTGTCCAGGATTAATGTCATGAGTATTAATACTCCATGGACAGTGGAAACTAACAGTGGTTTTTAAAGTGAGCTCCAACTCAATTGTACTAGAGAATCTTTATGCTGGTTCAACGTTAACTCTGTGATCACTTTTGAACCCTAAAGTGGAAAAGCCTGAGGCAAAGCGCTGTTCCGCCTGGAGCTTGTTACCAAGTCCCCAGAACTGCTGATGTCTTTATCATTTAAGCAGTGTTCAGAATCCACGCTAAAAAAATAAGAATTTTAATAATAATTACAACAAATAGTGTATTTCCAAGGAGTGCAGTAAAGGGGAATCAGTATATATGTCTAGGGTATCACCAATTCTCTCGTACGAGCTCCTTTGTTTTCAAAGCTCCCAGCAAACTTTTGTTTCACTCTGACAGTGTGTAACTAACAAAGGATGTTCCAAAATTATAAGGGATGATTTGAAATTAAGTTGCTTCTCATTGGAGCAAGTTTATCTAGTATATTCCCAGTGGCAGGCTATGCTCTGGAAAGGAGAAATGAAAGCGAGAACTTGAAGGTAGGAGGATGTGCTCCTCTGAAAGGGGAACAGAGTGACTCAGTGACCAGCCAGGGTGAACATACCGAATCTAATTAGGTACATGCTTATGCTACCTGGTTTTCACTTACAATTAAAAAAGAAAGACATGGGGGCCGGCCTGGTGCATAGTGGGTACGTTCGCACACTCTGCTTCTGCCTGGGGTTCGCCAGTTCAGATCCCAGGTGCAGACCTATACAGCACTCATCAAGCAGTGCTGTGGCAGGCGTCCCACATGTACTATAGAAGAAGATGGGCACAGATGTTAGCTCAGGGCCAATCTTCCTCAGCAAAAAGAGGAGGATTGGCGGCAGACATTAGCTCAGGGCTAATCTTCTTAAAAAAATAAATAAATAAAAATAATAATAAAAAAATAAAAAAGAAAGACAAAGAGGGTATATTGTTTGCTTAGCTGCTGACTAAGTTAACAAAAAACAGAACTTACTATACCCGCATCTGAAGAGGGATTTTGATGTGCATGTGAGGGGTTTATTTTCAATATGAGGAAAGAATTACATCATATGATCATACACAGATTACATGATCCTTAAGTCAGTGAAAATATTTTCTGATTACAGCAGCAGCATGACTCATAAAGTTACAAGCTTCTCTTTTTGCTTCTGTTTTTGTTGTTTAGGTTTCAGCTTAAATATCACCTCCTCAGGGAGGCCTGCTCAGACCATCAAGTCTAAAGTCACTCAGTCTTCATTTCCTGCCAAGTACTTATTATATCTGATTTTTTAACTTATTGATTTCTCTCTTTAGTTTTGGTCTCCCTTACTTCAGAATGAAACCTCTAGTCCATGAATGTAGGAACCTTGTCTATCTTGTTTACTGCTGTGGCCCAAGAACCTAAAATTATGCCCGATGGGACACAGATATTTATTGACTAAGTAAATGAATGAATTGACAGTGAAGAGTGAAAAAATTGGTAAACTTCCCAGTTTATTACATAAACATAACAAAATCCTCAGACCAAAACCAGAGTTAGCACATACAAAAAGAATACTGGCCAGACCAAATTTATTAGTGAAAATTCTGAATAAAACACCAGAATAATAAATATAACTGGAAATTGATAGAATTACCCACCATGACCAAATAGGGTTTCTCTCAGGGTTTTGGTACGTTTTTTACTTTTTTATTTTAAGTTATCAAAGTAATATGGAGATGTGATTTAAAAACTATGATAGAAGCACAGAAAATTAAAAATAAATGTCCTTTACAAATTCCTGCTCTTAAACCTTGTCCCACTTTCTATATTTGTTCCACTTTCCCTCTCTAACCTCCACTTCCTAACTTTGGTCAGACACGCTGATATTGCCAAGGTTAATAACATTTTACGTCCTTCAGTTATCATAAATAATACTTCTATGCTCTGTGGCAGAAGGGAAGATTGGTACAACACAAAATCAGAGTGACAGACAGTGGTTAGATCATTTAGGTCATAAATAATCGTTAGCCTAAATTTTTCTTTTTTATGCTGTGGAATATTCACTCTGAACTAATATCTGTTGCCAATCTTCCTCTTTTTATGTGAGCCACTGCCACAGCACAGCCACCGACAGACCGAGTGGTGTGGTTCTGCGCCCGGGAACTGAACCCAGGCCGCTGAAGCAGAGCACACCAAACTTTAATCACTAGGCCATTGGGGCTGGCCCAGTCTAAATTTTTTTTTTTTTTTGAGGACCATTAGCCCTGAGCTAACATCTGCTACCAATCCTCCTGTTTTTGCTGAGGAAGACTGGCCCTAAGCTAACATCTGTGCCCATCTTCCTCCACCTTATATGTGGGATGCCTACCACAGCATGGCTTGCCAAGTGGTGCCATGTCTGCACTGGGATCTGAACTGGCGAACCCCAGGCCGCCAAATTGGAATGTGCACACTTAACTGTTGTGCCACCGGGCTGGCCCCATGGCCCACTCTAAATTTTAACATAGATCTGAAAGTTCTAGTCAATGCTGCAAGATGTAAAATAGAAATAAAAGTATAACTTTGGAAAAGAATCAGAGAAATTTAAAATTATTTATTTAAAATATACATTAGGTGGCCCGCCCCGTGGCCGAGTAGTTGAGTTCGAGAGCTCTGCTTCGGTGGCCAGGGGTTTCGCCAGTCCAGATCCTGGGTGTGAACCTGGCATCACACATTGGGCCACAATGAGGTGGCATCCCATATGCCACAACTAGAATGACCCACAACTAACATATGCAACTATGTACTGGGGTGCTTTTGGGAGAAGAAGGGAAAAAGAAGAATGTATTTGAAAAAAAATAATAAAATACACAGGGTGCAAATCACATATTTATTAGTTCAAGCATATTTATTTTATCTAAAACTTTCAACCTTATTTACTTTTTGTCTACTTACTGTTACCAATTGATAGTGTTGAGCTGAAATTCCTGTAAGATTTTTTGTTTCTTTCCATTTCATTTTGTATTTCTAATAGTTTTTTATTTATATATTTTGTAAAGTTATATAGGACATGACGTTCTAATGATCCCATTTGAACAGAAAAATTATTCCTTGCTTTTATTATTTAACAATGTATCTTGGAGATCTTTTTGTGTCATTTACTTTGAGTTTTAACCAGCTACACAGTATTCTAGTGTGTGAGTGACTCATTCTTTATTTTAACCAGTCACCCACCAATCAAGGGCACATATCAGACCTTTGTACTTGCTGTTCTCTTTGCCTGAAATGTTCCTCCCTCAGAGAGCTCCATGGTTGACTTCCTTCCTTCAGATTTCCGGTCAAATGCCACTTTATTACAGATGCATTTCCTGACTGCTGACCACTAGATAGTGTGCATAAGTACATCTGTGTGAACACACACACACAGTTGCACACACACACACTAGTACTCTTTAGTTCCCTTTTCATACATACAAACATGCATATACACACAGTAGAAACTCTTTTACCCAATGAAGTCAAGACTGTTAGTTGGTTGTTTAATCAAAAAAGTTAAAACAGGAAATCATAAAAAATGATACATTTTTAATGTATTTTAAAAATTTAATTTTAACTTAAAATTTTTCTTTTGGTATGAGTTTATTAATTAGAGCTTCATGTTTTCTTTCTTGTAAAACTACAGGCAAAGTGCATTTTCTATGATTTCCATTTGAAGTAAGACTGTAATTTTTAAAACATTATTTATGTCTCTTTAAGTAGAATGAAGACAAACAATTTTGAAGCAATCTCAGCACAAAATCCCTCTTGATTTTTCAGTCCCCCCCCCCAAAGATTTTTATTTGTTTTTCCTGTGGCTAATTTGATAGTTTAAAAAAAAAAAAGAACTCACCTTTATCGAGTTTCTACCATTTCATATAGATGATGGCTTCTTTTATGCTCATTTCTTAATCAGTTTATGTAACATTTAATCTAATTACTTAAATATAATAATAATCATAATTGGCTTAAAAAGGCTTAAAATGAAAATAACTGACTTATGGTAAGAATGAAACTCACCTGGTGGAAGCAGACATGTGGATGCTGTAAGTATTCACTGCGTGCTAAACAGAGAGAATGAAGAGTGTTGGTTAATCTTATGAGTCAGCTAAGTGGAGGTTTGGTTAAGAAAGCACCTATTTTGAGCAGCGGTACGTGTTTGCGTGTATGTGTTAGTACACACAGAGAAAGTTTTCTGGTTGGATGTTTAAGAAATTGCTAACAGTAGTTGCCTCTGAGAAGGATGAATGCAGGATGATATGGGAAAAAGAATGACATCTCATTGTACTGTTTGAATTTTTTGCCATGTGCAAATATTATTTTTTTTCCTTAAAAATTGTTTTAGAAGTGATCTGGGTTTATCAAATTTCAGGCTACTGTTGTTGCTTGTTAGGCATTCCCTCCACCTCTTCTGGTAAGAGATCCTGAATCTCTTGCTTCCATTTCAGGTGAGGTCAATCATGAGACCACCTCCTGGAGACAGTGATTGGTGGAGGGAAGAGTACATGACCAAGGCAAATTAAGTCCAGACCAGTCAGGTTCTTCCTGGTGTTTTTTCCTAACTGAAGCATCTTTCTGGTGAAGAAGCTATCAGAAGAGAGTTCTGTTTCCCCTTAGGATGTGGAAAGTCTCAAGAAACTATTACTCCCACTCGAAAAATACAAAAAAGCCAGATAATCTACAAAATCTTAAATTTTCTTGAGCTCATCACAGAGCCAAGGTCAAAAGGCAACCAAGTAAACTGAACTCCAAAGAGTGACAAGCTACTCCAAAGAGAGATGGAACATGCAAACTCTCACCTGTGGCAAATCATGGGAGAAAAAGGTTACCAAAATAAAAACAGGTAAGAAGAAATTGGCTAAAACGTCAACAAATTCTTAAAAGTCAAGTGTGATCTAGTGTCATTTTGAAATAGCTAGAAGCCCCAGACACAAAAAACGTTTGCACTCACTGGCAAACTCTATTCCACGGCCACTGAGTGCTCACAAGAACAACTGGGGGCAGGGCAGGAAACTTGCGAGAGCCTCTCCTGGGTGGCACAGCCATGAAGAAGGTGATCAGCTACTAATGGGGGACAGACTCAAAATCCCACCCAATTTCCTGGATCCTTCTCTCAAAGGAAACAAAAGCGTTAAGCTCCTGGGAAGGGGTAGCAAATCTTTTCATTCTCAGAGCCAGGCAAACTTCCATGGCCTGTGGGAGAGGAGTAGAAACAAAACCAGGTTGCTTCTGGAGTAAGGGGAAGGAAAGCCTCTCACCTCTAGGACAAAGGCAAAGAACCATTGCCTCTGGGAGAAGGATAGAAGCTAAAACCCCATATTGAAGAAGGAGTGGGAATCTTCCTTTGGGCCCAAGACTCTGCACCAAAAATAAGCGGAGATCTGCTACCCTGAAGGAGGAGCAGGAAACTCTCTTCTACCCAACACAGAGCACAGTTACAAGTCAGAGTTTAACCGACATGGGAAGTCAAAGCAGAAATATGAAGAAGGGGTGGGAATACTGAGAAAACCCAACCTCAAACACAGGAGCACAGGGCCTGCCTAAGACCAAGGCTGGACCAAAACAACAGAGAACCCCTCTGTTCCTATAAGTCTAGAATCAAGCAACAAACAACTTCAGTCTACTACTTAGGGGAACAAGAGCACAGAGAGGGACGCTGTCTGTGGCACAGGTACACAGGAAGTGCTGAAAGCTGAGAGTGGAGCAAAAAAACTGAGATAAATTTACTAGGATCCCAAGCCCTGCTATAAGCATAAGCAACCAAATCCTGGAGGAATAGGAAGACTATGATGCCCTGAAAGTAATGGGAACAACAACAAAACCCAAACCCAGCTCAATTCATGACTAGGTTGACTCAATCCCTCACAATATTAGTCCAACAGAAGAAGAGGTATATTCATTTCTGAATGATGAATAATATTTATTATTATCTCAATCTCTTATGTTTTTCTATGCACACTATCTAGTATTCAATAAAAAAAAAAGGTAAGTTATACAAAAATCAAGAAATAAACAACCTTTTGCTCAGAGATAAAGCACTCAACACAAACAGACACAGAGATGACCCAAATGTTGAAACTATCATATAGGGACTTTAAAACAACTATGATTAATACTTTAAGAGATCTAGTGAAAAAGGTGGACAACATGTATGAACAGATGGTAAATTTCATTAGAGAGAGAGAAACTATAAATAACCAGTCAAATGGATATGCTAAGGAAAAAACATGAAAGAAATGAAGAATTCCTTCAATGCTCTCAGCAGCAGACTGGACACAGGTAAGCAAAAAATCAGTGAATTAAAGAGAGGTCAGCAGAAATTGTCCAAACTAAACATTAAGAGAAAAAAGTAAAAAATACTGAAAAGAGTTTCCAAGAGCTGTGGTACAAAACAGTCTAATATATATGTAATTGGAGTACCAGAAAGAGAATAGAGAACAAGGCAGAAGAAATACTTGAAGAGCTAACGGTCAAGAATTTTCCAAAATTAATGAAAGACAACAAGATACAGATATAAGAAACCCAGAAAAATCACGAGCAAGATTAAAAGAAAAAACAAAACACAAAAATCCCTCCCAGACATCTCATAGTCAAACTTCTGAGAATAAAAGGGTAAAGAGGAAATCTTGAAGGCAGCCAGAGGAAAAAAATTACCTATATACAGTCACAGAGGGGCTAGCCTGGTGGTGCAGCAGTTAAGTGCACATGTTCCACTTTGGCGGCCCAGGGTTCTCTGGTTCGGATCCTGGGTGTGGACATGGCACTTCTTGGCAAGCGATGCTGAGGCAGGCATCCCACATATAAAGTAGAGGAAGATGGGCATGGATGTTAGCTCAGGGCCAGTCTTCCTCGCAAAAACAGGAGGATTGGCAGCATATGTTAGCTCAGGGCTAATCTTCCTCAAAAAAAAAAAAAAAAAGAGAGAGAGAGTCAAAGATAATAATTACAACAAAAATATTTTTTAAATAAGAAAGGAATTACAGTATATTTATCATTAGAAACTATGCAAGCCAGAAGACAATGGAGTGGCATCTTTAAGGAAAAGGGGAAAAAACCTGTAAGCCCAGAATTTTGTATCCAGTGAAAATATCTTCCAAAAATAAAGGCAAACTGGGGCCAACCCTGTGGCCTAGTGGTTAAGTTCATGTGCACTCCACTTTGGTGACCTGGGTTCACAGGCCTGGTTCCTGGGCATGGACCTACACCACTCATTGGCAGGCATTGGCAGCCATGCTGTGGCAGCGACCTACATATAAGATAGAGGAAGATTGGCACAGATTAGCTCAGGGCTAATCTTCCTCAGCAAAAATAAATAAATAAATAATAATAAAAAATAAAGGCAAACTAAAGATTTTTTTCAGACAAACAAAAACTGAAAGAATTCATTGTTAGAAGTCCTGCATATTAAGGAATGCTAAAGAAAGTTCTTCAGGCAGAAGACATATGATACTAGATGGAAATTTGGATCTACATAAAGGAATAAAGAGCATCAGAAATGAGAAAAATTATAGGAAATATAAAAGAATTTTTTTCTTAATTCTAATCTTTTAAAGAAAAACCTATAAGGCCATAAGACCACGATTGCTGTTCAGCTTCATTAGAGAAGACTGAAAGAATAAAGTCAATAAAGAATAAAGAAACTGAGATGAGAGATGGCAAGGGAGAGCATACCAACAGCGTCCAGGTCCATTGGTTCTGGAGACCCCCAAGACAGCCACCATTCCTGTCTTCCCCATGATGTTGTAATCTGCTTGAGGTAGCATGAGTTACATTTCTGTCGCTTTAAACCAGATATTGTCTAACTTGCTATCCTCTTTGATTTATATTTGTAACAAGGTGACTCTGGGTGAGACTGGATCCCCAAGATTTTTGAATATTCAGTAAAAAAAGACTGAAAAGGAACTAAGTTTTATACAGACTAGAGATGACCCAGATGTTGAAACTATCAGACTACCAGACTTAACCTAAACTGGGCTTTGATTTCTCAAATATGACATGTTTTTAAGATTTAGAAAATGTAATGATTAAAGATATTGTGTGTTTGAGTCTTACTGATTCCCTAGAACCAGATCACATGCCTATGGGGTGGTTTCCCCGCAGGTAATACACATCCCACTAACAATTATCTTAGGGAAATGATGTATTTTTGAGATTGAAAAAAAATAGAGGATATGCAGGACTTAAGTGGGTTTTAGTGATGAGGATCAAGGCTGCCCCAAGGGAGAAAAGCCCAAGGTGTCCTGCCCTACATACCCATCTATATCACCCTCTGGAAGTGTAGGACATCCTGACCTGATCCGATCTGATTCTTATCTAAAGCTATAGGACCACCGAATAACCAGACCCTACCTACACTGATACCATTTTAATGACTTTTTTACATAATCTTTCCTTGTCTTGTAAAGAGATAGCTCACATACCTATACCTTAAATTTACCCCTACCCTCAACCCATGTTTGCAGCTCTTCACTGCCCATGGGTTCTGTCCCCATGCTACTCCATGCTATTCTCTGAATAAAGGAGCGCTACTACCAGACCTTGAGAGTCCAAGAAATCTTTCTTTTGACTCCTCGGCTTGCCGAGCCCACATCATTAGAATGAAGTAGGAGGACAAAAACCCTTTTTTTCTAAGGCCAGAGAGCCAGTTTGGCTTGAACTCTGACGTGTGGAGGTACCAATAGTGATTCTAGTAGTCGAATTGTGAACTAACCCTCCAGCCATGGAGGCAGTACATGAGCAAAGCAACGAGTTGGCCCTGTCAGGAAGAAACCTCAGGACAGATTTGGGCTTGTGTGATGGGTATAAGTTGTTCCCATTATTGCTCTACCCTTCCATGATCCCTGAACCATTAGTCATGTCACATTAAAAGTTACAGACTGATCTCCTTTGACTGTGTCAAATTACACAATTGCCAAAGTGTGTTCTACCTTGAAGGCCTACTGGTGGTAGCAGGTGTGATCCCTAAGAAAGAATCCTGTGGCCAACGGCTCAGCTATCTGAGAGTGGTAGGTTGCAGAGTCTGCTGGGTGACAAGTTCAAAAGGACACCACATGGAAGATCATAAGGGGCCAGTTCCTGAGCAGACATGAGACGACACCCTGGAGAATGCCGTGAAATTGATGAGGAATACAATTGCCTTCACTGATGCCCCTGGAAGCAGAACTTGAGATAGGGACTCAGATGCAGGTAATTTATTTGGGTGATCATCCCTGGGAGCAAGAGGGAGGGAGAGGTAGAGTGAGACAGAGCAGGCTTATGTGTAGAGCAGGGTAAACTTTGATTTTTTTTTTTTTTTTAGGAAGATTAGCTCTGAGCTAACTACTGCCAATCCTCCTCTTCGTGCTGAGGAAGACCAGCCCCGAGCTAATATCCGTGCCCATCTTCCTCTACTT